GTTCTCAGAGAGAAGCTCTCCAAATGGTTCTAGCAAGGCTGAATCATTGGAATAAGTGCATAGGCTTCCCCAGGGACTACTTAGAAGAAATCTCTCTCAACTGTCTCAAAGGACACTGGTGTGTGGTGGGAAATGCAGCTTTGCTTCCCACTACTGAGGCTCATGCTCAAACAGCACCTTGCCCAGGGCTGCTCCAGCCCCAGCCTCCAGCCCAAGGGCCCTGGTAGCAAACTGTAATGCATTTCCAGCTTTGTCTGCATGTTCTGATCAAACCTCTGCAGTTTAACAAGCTCCAGGCAAGATTCCAGTGCCTCTTCCAAGCACAGGAAGGTTTTTTGGGTTCAAAGAATATCATTCCTGGAGCTGGTAGAATGATCTTTCTGACACAACCCACCCACGTGGGGCAGATGGTGTTATAAAACATTCTGCTGATGAAAACCATTGTCCGTGAGTGAGATGGCCCAGCCACCACGATGGCCTGCCGTTTCAAAAACGCTTTTCCATAAGAAGCCTCTTTTGTTTCTGGGAGGGACCTGGACATGTGGTTTGGCCATTGTGCAGACTTGGGAAGACCTGCCCCCAGGACCCCCCAAGCCCACGTGTCACTGCCTGGTGAGGTATAATTTCCTACCCTCCCTGCGGGTTTAGAAAGTCTGTTGAAAACTATATACAAAGAGGCACAGAATCCATTACAGAAATGAAAATAAACAAAACTGGCGACAAGTGGAATTTAATAAGTTCAGCTAAGCGTATAATAACTTACAATAACTGGGCTGCCCTGAAGTTGCTGAACACGTGATAAGGGAGGAGGAGTTTAACTGTAGTTAAAATGCAGTGTGCGATGCAGGTTGTTTTTATTAGGAAAAGGGTATTATAGAAATAGCAAAAGCTCAGCAAAGTGTTGTTAGGGTGTCTCTGAAAAGCAGGAGGGCTAGGTAATTCAGACGAGGCTGGAGAGTGAGCAGCTCCTGGGGAAGGGAAATGAAGGGGTTTCATGGAGGAGGCAGTGCCACGCAGACCAACAGGGAGCACTTCTCCTCCCCTAAGGCTCCTTGAGGTTTTGATAAATAAAGCAGGTAGGTAATTCAGAGGAAGTTCAACTAGGGGAAGAGAAAACTAGAAAGAAATTGTGTTGCATCTACAAAGTAGCAAAAGTAATCTAGTAAACATATTACTAGCAACACTGAAGAAAATACCTTAATCCGGAAGAGTAATAGCACTGGGAATAAGAGTTTTCATGTGCTAGAATGGAACAGTGAGGGAAACCTTGCTGGGCAGTTGGAATATTTAAGTAAGTTTAGAACCTGAGACTAATGACAATGACATCATCCACTCCTTCTTCCTGCACCACCTCCTTCCAGCCCTCCAGCAATAGCACGACCTGGGAATGCAGCCCTCCTTGCAGAACACTTCCACAGTCATCTGTGCATTTATTCATCAACATTATTTAGTACTTGCTAGGTAGCAGGCTCTATTGCAGGTGCTCAATATACAGAGACAAAGTACACACCTGACGCTCTGAAAGGAACTTGTCGACTCTCAATCTGTTGAGTGAATTAATGAGTGAATGGATGGAAGGATGAATAGGTGAGCTGAATTGGACATGACCCTTCCTTAGCAGAGGCCACAGTCTAATAGATGGAAACAAGAAGTACAACAAGACTACTTCCATGTACTCAGATAGGAGTCTGTACGGGGCCCAGTGAGGTCCCCTGGGGAGTGAGCCACTCACCCTTGGAAGTCAAGGAGAGCATCCCAGAGGAGGATGGAGGCATCGTGAGGCCAAGCCTTCTAAGATGACTTTCCTATCTTATGGGCACCTTGGTCCTTGCTTGTAGCCCCACACATAGGCCCACCCTTTAGGGAGTCCTGGGTCCTAGGAATGGTTCAGCTTCTCTGATGGTCCCTTTGCCCAACTGCTTGCACACTTTGCCCTTTGCTGCCTGATTCAGTCTGTTTCTGGCCACCGTAGGGTAACTGTCCCACCTGATCCAGCCTGTGGCCAAGGACCCAGCCCTGGTGCCAGCTCCAAAGTCTAGCCGTGTGATTGACCCACACTCCCCATAGATGTGACAGGGTCCCTGCAACATGGTAAGTAGGTAGCTTGGTCACTTTAAAATCATCGCGTGTCAGGGAAACAAATGAAGGTCATTCCAGAAACATTTGGAACTCATAAAGAGGATCATGGTAAAAGCAAACAGATGCATGGGAAAGGACAGGATTAAAGCAGGGGTGCAGGGTCTACCACACTGCTTGTGCAGCTGCTCCTTACCACCCACTATGGTCCCTGGGCTATGTCTGAGGAACCCTGGAGCTGCCTAGAACTTTGTGAGGACCACAGAAAGTCCTCCGCTTCCAGTTGGAGGCTGGGTAAGGAAGGTAAAGACAGCAATTCTTGTCACAGGGCACCAAGGAGAGCTCAGAGAGCTCACTTAGCTGGTGAGGTGGGGGTGGACTTCTTTTTTCGTAAAGCCTTTAATTGCTAATGACTTTGGGATTTGTTCAAGTGATTCTTTGTGCTCAACCTTTTTTTTTGTTCAAAGTCATTACTCACTGTGTTTCGTTTGGGTATTTGAGACAGCCCAGCCTGGCATATTTCCCATCATGGCACTTTATAAATGTTCATGCTGATTAGAACTTTTATTTTTCATAATGACCCACGAATGTAATGATAATGGCAAGTAATAGTCCATATCTAATGGCTTCTTGTCCAAGGGCTGAGGGAATTTGTTTAATGTAGTTAGTGCCAAACTTCTAAAAGAAAACTATTTAAGCTTTTGCATTCACTTATGCATTTTTATGAATCTCTAGGTAATAAAAGGGAATGGCTCATCTGGAAAGTTGGGAGACAAAGAAGTTCGGGTCACTTGTGATGACATTTTTGATTGTCTCTATACCATTTTCTCATCACAGACCTGCTAAGAAACTTCCAAGTTCTAGGCCAATGACAGGATGAAGAGACTGTGAGTGTGGAGCTGGGAGTTTGAAATACCTGGGTCTGTTCCACATGTGGTGGGACTACACCACTTGGTGGCCCATAAGCAAGTCATGGGTACAACTTCCTGCTGGTGGACAGGGGCTCATTGGGGGGATGGAGCAGCTGGAGTGTTACCCTCCAAGCCAGAGAGAGGCAATCCTTTGTCGAGCAATCCTAAAAGACTGGAATCCTTCTCCCAGAGCCTGACTGAAATCAATAGAGAAGCTCATAAGGCTACCCCACACACCATGAGCCCTTTCTTCTCATCCTGAGCCCTCCACCCCCTTAGTATTGTCCACTTCTGGCCATCCCTCGTCTCTATCTGTGTTCTCTTGCGCATATTCCCCCAAACCCGCTCTCAGTAAAATCCTGAGGGTGAATAACTATAGTTCATGGGTCCACTGTCCCAGAGGTGCTGGCACAATAATCATGAGCTTTAACGGTGCAGTGAAACACTTTGGGTACAGGAAAATGGATTTCAAACTGAGAAAGAATGGTCTGAGGAAACTTTTATGTCACTGAAATCATCTTGAGAATAGGGATTCCACTTCACCATGAGCAGGGTTGTTAGACAAAATACCAGGCACACAGTTAATATGAACATCAGATAAACAGCAAATGACTTTTTAGTAGGAGCATGTCCCAAATATTGTATGGACATACTTATACTAAAACAATCATTTATTGTCTATTTTAAAATCAAATTTAACTGGGTATCCTATTTTTTTTGAAGATTTTATTTATTTGAGAGAGAGAATGAGAGAGAGAGAGAGAACACAAGAGGAGGGAGGGTCAGAGGGAGAAGCAGACCCCCCGCTGAGCAGGGAGTCCGATGCGGGACTCGATCCCGGGACTCCAGGACCATGACCTGAGCCGAAGGCAGTCGCTTAACCAACTGAGCCACCCAGGTGCCCTGGGTATCCTATATTTTTATTGGTTAAATTAGACAACCTCATTAGTCCTAGCCTCGGTACCACCTCCTAGGGTCCTGAATATAACCTAGGATGAGGCAGTGTCCCAGTTACAAAGTGGGTACAGGTGGGTACACATGGTGGCACACTTCATTCACACCCAGACTGACCTGAGCATACTGCTTCTACCTTCTGATCTGGTTATTTCAATGAATCATGGTCTGTTGTGTGCTCTGTCTATGGTAGGTGTGGGGACACAGGTAAGGCCTTCCCCACTTGCTTGGAAGGAATGAACACTGCATAAGCTGTGAAACCATAACTGAGTTCAAATCCAGCATGTGCTACTTTGGTCACATGATATTCTCCATGCCTGTTTCTCATCTGTAAAATGGAGACAATATCTACATCTTGGGTCGTCATAAGTTTTCAAAGTGAAACTTGGAATGCAGCTGTGTAGTGAACCCTGCAATGTGCTACCTAGACCCCCTTTCAGTAAAGTACCAGTTGCCCCAGATGCTGGGAGAAGTCTTGGAAGAAACAGCTTTCAGCTGTCAGCCCCTTCGGCATTGCTGCAGCTGCAGGGAGGGGCATTGCCCAAAGTTAATCCCTTTCCTAGGGTGGCCCCCATGCAGGGACTGATGAATTCAAGAGTGTAAAGACGCATCCATCTCAGACCAGCCCAGGACAACCTGGAAAGGGCCATTCAAACTCTAGAGCATCACTGGGGTTTGTTGAGCCTGCATCACAGCTTCCCTTCTCCCACTGCCCTTCCTGCTTCCTCCTCTCCTCTATAGCTGTTGATAGCAAGGGTACTCCTAAAGAAACATCATATCCAGTAAACGCAGTCTTAGGGTCTGCTTCCCAGGAAATTCAGCTTGCAACAGCATGGTACAGTTCCCAGCACAAAGTATAGGGTTTAACCTGCAGAAAACTTTATAACAACAACAAAAGAATGGCAACAGTATGGTCAAACATACAGTACTGATCTAGCTTTACATGGCATCTCCCACACTTTCTTAGAACAGTCCTCCTTCCTTGTGGTGATGTCACTGACATTACATTGTGATGAATGCAAGATCTGTGCCTGGCCCTCTGCCTCACTTGGTGGTTGACACGGGCCTGGAAACATAGCAGGTGCTCAGTAAGTGCTTGGGCAACATTTAACTACTTGGCCTCAGAAGATCAGATGGAGCAGGAAACTTTTGGAAAAGTCATTTACAAATCTACATAGCTTCAGGAGAGTTTGCCTATAAGCAGTGTGCAAAAGTGATCTGTGAGTGGTTGCAGCTGAAAGTGAGGGGCTTGGCGATACCCTTGGCCCATAAAACGAGGTCATGTAGGAAGAGTGGCAAATCCCCCAGAGCTCCTAGCAAATGGTGGGAGAGAAGCTTATGGCAGGGCTGGAGAGAGAGCAGGGCATGCACAGGAAACTTAAGGGGAGATTAGGCAATGAGTGGGAGTCAGAGCAAGTAGAGATTACAAAGTGAAAAGCCTGTGTGCCAGGCTGAGTGTGATCTTTATATCCAGGGTGATGGGAGCTCCAGGAAGGAGGGAAGCAGGCGTGGTCTGATCTGTGTTTTAGTACTCTGCCTGCAGCAGCGAGGATGCTTTGGAGGGTACAGTACGAGAGACGGTTGGAGGCAGTTGCCACAAACACTAAGAGCAGTGACGGGGGCTGGGCCTGGCCTGGCAGTGGGGATGGAAGAGACATTTCCATGAGGGGCACTATGTAGACATGGTAAAACACGAATTAACAGATGAGAGAGAAGGGAGGAAGATGGGGGATATCTAGGTTTTTGATCTTCCTTCAGCTCTTTGCCTCTCTAGCTCATCGTGCAAGAGCCAGCGAGGTCCAGCCCCACCTCCTAAACACCTGCAAAAGTGGATTCCTTATTGACCCCCGCCTTCTGAAGTTTCTGCAAAATTACATCTGAGCTACCTAATCACATAGTTAGAATTCTGAATCCTCGTCTCAATTTCGGTTATTGGGAGCTTCTCCAAGCATGAAGCCATCCCTTGCCTCCCCATCACACACATTAGTTCTATGGTTGTTTCTCTGGTGGACCACACTCAGGCTTGTCTTAGAGTCTCTTCCATTGCAGTTCTCTCTTCTGGAGCATTCTTCCATCCCTCTCAGCTTTCAGGTCTCACCTCACCTATCTGTCACTTTTGAATGGTGGTCCCTTCAGCAACCTCAAATAGGTCACTTCCCTCTGCCATATATCCTCGTAGGATCTTCTACTTTTTTTTAGCACTTACCCCAATTTAATTACTAGTTTAACAGGGCTCCTGGGTGGCTCAGTCAGTTAAGCGTCTGCCTTCGGCTCAGGTCACGATCTCAAGGTTCTGGGATCAAGCTCTGCTTGGTCTGAGATGGATGGGCTCCCTGCTCAGTGGGGAGTCTGCTTCTCCCTCTCCTTCTGCTCCTTTGCCCCTACCCCTGCTCATGCTCGCTCTCTCTCTCCCTCTCTCTCAGATAAATAAATAAAATCTTAAAAAATAATTACTAGTCTAACTACATAGTGCTGTACCTCTAATACCTAGCAAAGCCCCTCCCCCCATGCCATAGTTACTATATAAATAAGTATTTGTTAAATGAATTTGTTACTTATGGACAACATTGTGTACATGGGCAGTGGGGATTCACATTCCATTAGTCTGTTCTTATTTGTGGGTGTAAGCCATTTTGCAAGTTATTTTTGGTTAGATGAAAATCAACCCCTCAGGAGTAAGCAGCCCCCATATCCTAAAGGTCTACTTTACAGCTAGTTCCTTTCCCTTGTACTTAAGGAAATCCCATATTCTCCTACTCCATGCTCAGGGGAGTTGGAAATAATCTACATATCCTAGACCTAAATGCTTCATGAATCGAAGAGATACTTAAAAAGAACCTGTTATGCACAAGCCCCAGGGACAAGCCCTGAAGCCAAGGTTTGTCCCCACATGCACTAACTTCAGCTCAGAGGATCCCAAAGGGGCCTAATTTACCTGTGATTGGAGCCACACTGGCTGTGGAGCTTGGGTGCCTGCCTGGTTTATGTGGTGCCTCAGAGAGCTTGCTTTAGGAGGATTTTGGAATTTCATGCCCGGGCACAGTGTGGGGCTTGTTAAACTCCTGTAGAGGAGGAGATGAGGTTCCAGCTTCCACTGTTGAGAGAAAGGGTCCTGGCACCTTGCTTCCTGCATGGCTCCTCTCAGCTTCATTTCTGGGCCCTGTTGCTCAGACTGTGTAGGCAGAAGCTCTTTTATGAAGACGGAGGGGTAGAGGAGCAGGTGCACTCATTGGCACAGGGAATACAACAGGCTGCCAGGCAGTTAAAAAAACAAATCACCCTACACAAAACCATGGGGATGCTCTGCCTTGACTGTCACTCCTCAGGGCTAGAGTCACCTACCTATGGTAGGAATTTGGCAAGAGCTCTGGCTTGGAGCTTCAGCATTCTGCCCAGCAGTGGTGAAGAGCAGGACTTCCCCCTATAGTACTGGGATAGGCTCTGCTAACTGGTCTCCACCAGCTCAGACCATGTGTGCTATGAAAAGAGCTATGAGGGCTGGGTGCACCTGTGTGTGTTTGGGGGGATGCGATTAAAAAGGAAATCAAGGCACAGGTAAATCCATTCTCAAAATCATTACCTCACCCCTGAATTCCTTCTTGGAGAGCCTCATTCTTTGGAGGTTAAAAGACCTTTAAAGTTCTAAGATTCTCTCTGCACAAAAATAAAAGCCTTGAAATGAAGAGGGTCTGAGCATGATTCATCACTGGTACCTTGGGAACAATACAGAGGGTGGAACATAGGACAGTGATGGCAGCATGGGAGATGAGAGAAACATCCTGCTGGGAAAGGGGCTTCCCAGAGGGAGCTGAGCTGTGCTAGGAAAGGGCAGAATAAGAAGAAGGAGGCTGGTGTCCAAAAGACACTTTTCTAATCCCACTGACAGTTATGATGGGTGATAGTTCATTCAGTGACTTTGCACGTATTTATTGGTGCTTCCCATGGGCCAGACACTGTTTAAGCTCTGGAGAAAGAGTGATGGACAAAACAGATAAGGTCCCTGCTCTCAGGGTTTCTATTCCAGAGGGGCCAAATAGACAATGAAAAAGTCAAGACTTACAAAAGGTCATTTCAGGTGTGATAATTGTCATGGAAAGAATCAAGGTGTGATAGGATGAGTTGGGCAGTGAGAAGATACTTGAGATGAGGTTTTCTGGAAGGGGTTCTCTGAAGTCTGAGCTGAGAGCTGAATGATGAGGAGGGGTGAGTCATGCCATAGCAGGAAAAGCATTCAGGCAGAGGGAAGAGCTAGTGCAGATACCCCAAGCTAGGACTGAGCTTGGTAAATCTGAGGAATAAAAAGGAAACCACTGTGGCCAGGGCGGAGTGGGTGAGGAGAAGTGGTGGAGGGATGAGTCAGGAATGATCTTATACATCATAGGAAGAAGTTTGAATTTTATCCTAAGTATGGTGGGCAACCTCAAGAGGCTCTAAGAAGAAATGGCCATAGCCTGTTTTATGATCAGATTTTCTTTTTGAAACCATCACTCTGGAAGCTCTGTAGAAAAGGGATTATAGGGGAGAAGAGTGAACACGGAGGCAAATCAGAGGGTTCTTGCAGAGTTTCAAGCAAGAGATGATATTGACTGGGGATGGGAGGTTGGCAGGTGGGAGAAGAGAAGTTCCACATTTTTTTTTTTAAGGATTTTTGAAAAGATTTTATTTATATGACAAAGAGGAGAGAGCACATGAACAGGGGGAGTGGCAGGCGGAGGGAGGGGGAGGGGGAGAAGCAGGCTCCCCACTGAGCCAGGGAGCCCAGTGCGGGACTCGATCCCAGGACCCCAGGATCATAACCCCAGCCAAAGGCAGACGCTTAACCAACTGAGCCACCAGGCGCCCCTGAAGTTCCACGTGAAGTTCCACGTGAAGTTCCACGTGAAGTTCCACATTCTATCATGTTGATGTAGAAATGGCAGAACCTGCTGATGGTTTATGTGTGGATATGGAAGGACTGTTGGTTTAGAGAAAAAAAGGAATCAAGGGCCCTCCCGGGGTTTTTGCTTGAACAGCAATAATGGTGCCCTTTTCCAAGATATGGTGCCCTGAGGTGAGGAGCAGGCCTAGGAGGAAATCAGAAGTTGCCTCCTGTTCCAAGTGGCAGGTTCAGGTTTCCTGAACATTTGAATAGGAATGATAAATTATACCTAGTTAGGGATTCATCTTTGAGAAAAGAGCATGCAAATTATATTCAAAAGCTTAATGTCCTTGCTTTCTCCCAAAGCCAGGGGCTGGGTCTAGAGCAACCTGAGTCTGCCTAGGAATTGTTTGCTTGCTACATTGGAAAACCCTAGAGGATAATAGCCACTATGCAAGTATACCTTCAATCCAATTCATTATGCATTTGCTAAGTGCCCACTATCAATGATGCCCACAGTCATGGAACCACCCTTAAGTCAAGGGATTCTAAAATTTCAAGACAGAGGCATGAAGGTTCATTGCATTATGATTATGATCTGTCTCAAAAACCATTTCTAAGATTGTTAGGCCCAAGCTATAAGAGTAAAAAGCTGATTTTATGTCCTTATTCATGCTTCCTCTCTTCCTTTTCTTAAAACAGATTTATTACCAACACTCCTGAGGACAATCTTATTTATCTTCATCTTGCCCTACATTCTCAGCATAGATACCTAGGCTGGATATATAATGTTCTTTGCATTCCATAGACCCCCACACCCCCCACCCATTGTCCACCACTTCTCCTAGGAGAGGGATGGCAAATGGGTTTCATTTAAGAGTTACTTCTTTTTTTTAAATTTGCTTATGTTATGTTAGTCACCATACAATACTTCATTAGTTTTTGATGTAGTGTTACATGATTCATTGTTTGTATATAACACCCAGTCCTCCATGCAATACATGCCCTCCTTAATACCCATCACCGGTCTAACCTCTCCCCCCAACCCCCTCCCCTCTAGAACCCTCAGTCTGTTTCTTTCTTTCTTTTTTTTTTTTTTTCTTGATGTAGTGTTCCATGATTCATTGTTTGTGCATAACACCCAGTGCTCCACGCAGAATGTGCCCTCTTTAATACCCATCACCAGGCTAACGCATCCCCCCACCCTCCTCCCCTCTAGAACCCCCAGTT